TCAACCAACTTTAATAAAAACGATCAAAGAAATATTATCGAACAAAAACATGTGAAACTAGTGATAGATGCTCTGGTTATTGTTTCCAATAAACAGACTCTTAAGCATTTTCGTGTCGCATTTAACTGCCTTATTTCTTTGTACTTCGGATTTAGATAATTTGTAATCCACTTTTCCCAACCATTAATCTTGCATTGCCTTTTGGTTACCCGTTTGGCTGACCAATGAAAGACGAGTAAGTAGATGAGCTTGAAGCTAACAGTGCTATCAAAAAGAAGCACAAAGCAACTTAATGACAACTGATTAAATAGTGAGTAGATGCACAAGCTCAGCTGTTTACGATACTCAGCCATTTCACTTAGCGTCTCCAATTGTTCATCAAGTTGACTACGAGATCATAGTGGGTAAGTCATGAGCTTCATCTGTCGCGATTGCTATGGCATGTGTTGTGCATGCCGCCAATAGGTTTCCCTGACTTATGGTGTATGCCGAGGCAGACACTGACAAGAGAAACTAAAGGCGGCCTGAATAAACCTAGCATGATGGTGTTAAATCCCAGATCAGGTAACTTGGTTACATAGGTCGGGTTGGGCTACCCCATAAAGATAAAATCTCTGAACCGTGGGATAGAACCGGCCAATAGTTGCAGCATGCAAATGACCATTCACAGACAGCCGAATGACGCAAACTGGCAAAAGTAGCTGAGCTTCTCAAGAACCTAAGTAAAAAAGATCGGGAATGAGGGTATGATTCGAACGTATCCAGAAACGTCGGTTACCACTGAATGATACACCCTGCTATTTGCGTTTAAAGGTTATAGTCCTGACCTTTTCATAATCGAATGACATGACTATTTGAGCTACCACTTAAGCGCTCGTGAGAACACGGTTGACTGAGTGGGCTTGAAAAGGGCTGAACAAAGACTGCATCGAGAACGTGTGAATTTAGACCATTTTTATTACATACAATAGACAGCAAAATAGGCCGTTAAATTAGGGGGATTTGTTATGTAACAAGTATGCCATCGGAAAGCCAAGCCAAACAATGAAACCACCTAACACCGGAGTTGATAACATGGTTCGAAGCAGGGACGATATGAAGTAAATATCGTCTTCTCAACCGAGTATTGCAACTGTACAAGTTGATCTATTTCTGACCTCACGGAAGAGACTATGATGTTAGCAGAAAAGACAGACGCTTAAGGGGCGTATCCGTGGTATATTGAGCGCGGGGCGCTTTAAGATGCTCAAGAAGGCAGTAAACGGTTTGTGGAATGCGTTGATATCTTAGCAAACTGCCAATATATTACTTGAATGAGAACGAGATTGACTATCTTTGCCTCTCACCAAATAGGCCCAATCCCTCTCCATCTTGTGCTCTATCACTTGATTTGTGCACACTGAGCTTAGTGAAGTTCGCTTCACTGTATCTCGCTGTACGATGAGGATGATGAGAACGAGGATACGAACCATAGGAAGCTCGTGATCTCAGGTCATTGCTAATAGGTTGTGGTAAACAGTGGGTGTCGAAGTTTCGGCGAAAAATGAATTAACTGCACTCGTTTTTCTCTGTTGATATTAAAATGATTGTTTGTATCGGCAGGATGAATCAAGACTTCAAATAAGGTGTTACAAAAGTTAGTGGAACTGTCCAGTTATGGGTTAATAGGAATTGATATATTGACCTACCCCGAGGAGTTCTTAGAAAAAAACAGTCATATAGGAACATGATAATGAAACGCTGTGCCACGCTAAAAGCAGGTGTCACACCAAGTGGAAACGAAGCAATAAACCAATTAAGTAGCGTACTTATTAATAAGAACTGATATAGTACCTAAAGTGAGGATTTTGTTCGTCGCAATAATAATTTGTACAACACATCTTGACCAGAAAAATTACTTATTTTATTATGACATATCACACTCGTCTGAGGCCAGACTGTGCCAAACAAATCACGGTAAAGCAATCTTTATAAAAAAAGAGAAAGTTCCACGATTTGCATGCGAGCAGAATACTGCCAGGTCGCCCAGACCAAAGCAGCTGAGGAATCCACAACCAGAGCCTTCAGCTAGCCAAAGCTTGACCGGAAAGGCAGTGGGGCAGTGTGAAAACTGCAATTCATTTGGGGCCGGTGTCCAGTTCATCCGATTATGTGCCCTTTGGATGGGCTGAAACGTCCAAGGTACCCAATACACCTCGATGCCCCATTGAGCCGGTGACCGCTGCCACAAACAGGAAGGTGTGTTATTCGTACGTCTCCTCATTGGTTTGGAAT